GGCCTTGCGGTGCGGTGCGGCCGGGGTCACCAGGTGCTGTTTAAAGCCACTCAGGATTCCTGCATTTGAACTGTGCTGAGGCCGAGCTTTTGGGGGTGGGAGAGAAAGGCAAATGCAAAGCAACAGCTATTATAATGAACGGCATTTTCCATCCCAACTTTCATTCTTAACATTCATTTCTTAAACTTGTATTGCTAAAGCAAATCTTAGAAATAGGAGACTTAATGAAATTTATCTTTTTTGTTCTTTCCAGTCTTTTAAAGGAAATTTGTATTTTATAAATGAAATTCCTATGCTTTTGCATTCTACTATTTTATATAACATTAAGGTATAACATCATTTTCATGTTCTTCCTTCTTTTTTCTGGTGCTGGGGATGGAACCTAGGTTCTTCCCTCTGACCTAAAACATTTTTGAGATAGGGTGTTGGTAGGTCACTAAATTGGCCAGGCTGAGCTCAAACTTGTGGCCCGCCCGCCTCAGCCTCCCAGAGTGCTGGGATAACACGTGTGCACCACCGTGCTGGGCTCACGCTCTGTCTTAGCCTCCCTGAGATCCTCTTAAAGGCTTTGTATGATCACCGTGATTAAAGGGCCCTTAGCTCCCTGGCCTGCTTCGCTCACACCTTCCAAGCCACTCTTTCCGCAGAGCCTGTGCTCATCGCAGATGCGGTAGAATCCCCCTGCTTCCTCTCATCTTCTTCTTCCACACCTCCCCGCTCCTCACACCGGGACAGAGTCCACCTGTGATCTGTGAGGGTGACTTTCGAAATCTGTTCAGATCTGGAGCTCCTCCTGCCACCAACATCAGGTCTGGCCCCACTATTTCAGCCATCTCTGCCTCAGTATCCCCACTTCTCCTTTGGTTCTTCTCTGTCCTCTCCAGAGCTGCTCCCTTAGGGTAGAACCCCGCTTGCCTCAGTCTTGAACCATGCAGTGACTCCCATCTAGCTGAGAGGAGAAGCACACATCATGGTCTGCTCCTGTCTGTGCGTCCTTCCTTGTTGGATAGCAGCCTTCTCTGTTCCTCCAACCCCCCACACAGTCAGCCATCCAAGCAGATACTGTTCCACCTTGGAGGACTTCAGCCATAAGTGTGGCTCCTGGTCCCTTCCCAGGATTCCCCAGGGCGACTCCAGGCTGCTGCCCACGAAGGGCTAATGCTGTACCCACAGGAAGCATGTGGGACAGTGCCCCACATCCTGGTGTGTGGCAGTCTACTCTGCCCACAGTGGGGTTTCTCAGGCCTTAGAGCCTGACCTATGCAACGTGTGCTCCCTAGTGGCTGGGGGAGTCCCACAGAGCACCCTTGTGTCCCCCAAGGGCAGCCTGCAGTAGCTCCTGACTGCAAGTCCTCATCCCACAGTCCCATGGTGTGTGTGTGTGTGTGTGTGTGTGTGTGTGTGTGTGTGTGTGAAAAGGTGGCAGGTTCTCAGGGTCTGTGCTGTCCCCGGGGACCACAGCTGTCCCTGGTTGACTCCTTTTCTGCTAGAGTCAGCTGCTCATGCAGCCTGTATGACTTGCAGCCCTTGTGAGACTTTGGCTTTGGGTCCAGCCTGGAAGAGACTGGGTGGAGCCCACCTTCCAGGAGGCTGCTTAGGCCACGGTGGTGACAAGAGTCAGGTTAGCCGCTGTTGGTGCAGTGCTTTAGGGCTGGGGCAGCAAGGCTCTGCCATCTTCAAGAAATGATTTCTTGTTGTCATGGCGACCATTTCTGCAGGTGTCACTGAGAGGAATGAAATGGAGGCGGCACAGCTTGGGGACATCCTTTTGAGCTGAGCCAGGAAGTCCTTCAGCATACTTCCACTTGCCACCTTTGTGTAGCTGAGGGCCAGTCCTTGGGCACAGGAATGTTGTCCAGCCACAGGCTCAGGGATAGGAGGAGGTGCTCCGTTCTGGTGAGATGCTTCGCCTCTCAGGACACTTCAAAGCAAAGTCTCCATGCCTCACACCCCATCCATTCATTTAGTGGTAGTCCATGTCACACGCACACAACACATCTCAATTCTTTTATGCCCCTCCTCTCCCTTCCCTGCCTCTCCCCCATCTCGTGGCCCCTTCCCATTTGCAAAAATTCTTTCTCCCTGTTTCCTGTCATCTACCTTCTGTTCTGCTCTTTAATTCATTTGTACTTCGGGTTTCTCATGTAACTGAAGCTATGAACTATTTAAGCCTCTGTATCTGATTTATTTCACTCAATGTGATGGTCTCAAGGTGCATCTGTTTTCCTACAAATGATTCATGTTTATCTTTTATGGCAGAGTAATACACCATTGTGTGTGAACACCGCATTTTCTTTATCCACTTATCTGGTGATGGGCATAGAGGCCACTTCCAAGATTTAGCTATTGGGAGTTATGCTGCTATAAGCATGGGTGTGCGTGGATCAACATGACATGATGCCTTGAACTCTTTCAGGAAGACATCTAGGAGGGAAAGAGACTCAGCTATGCACTCTTCAAACAGATCAAAACAGACCAACAAAACATCAGCAGGTGCCACAGAGATAACACTGACAGTGCAGTGATTCCCCAGTGCCTCACAAGCACTGAGGAGCAGGTTAAAATGAAGGTGGTGGTTTGGTGCTAGTCTAACATGCGGAGCGCAGGCTACCTGTGTGGCTTAAAAGGAATGGAGGGAAGGGTTTAAAACAGGAAAATACAGTCATGGAATTTGGATTTTGGCCAGAGCAACAGAGCTGAAAACTCCAGTAGGACTCATTGCAAAATGGTGTGTGTGTGTGTGTGTGTGTGTGTCTGATATAATGGGAACAAACACTTAAGAACCGAAATCAAACTGATCACACACGTACATCTCTCTGTGCCTGTCTCTCTCTTAGTCTCTCTTACTCTCTCTCATCAAGCAGTTTTACCATATTTTCTCTGCCCTCACCCTTTACCTCAAGGGGAAAGGTGGGTTTGGCAGACAAATAACAAATATCAGCACTCTGGTAGATCCCAGAGCAACCTAGACCTCCAGTCTAGACATTGTCTGGGCTTATCTCTAGTCAACTTGTGAAGCGTAATGAGATCAGGGAGCTGGATAAGGGAACTGTTTTATTGACCATTATGGCAGAGGACACAAATCTGAGGCTTGTGTCCCACTCTGGCTCCTTAACAGACAGTGCCATGAGCGGACAGCGCCCCCTAATGGCCTGCTTTAGGCCTAGTTATAAAATGTCAAATCTCCATCTCCCTCTCAGTGAAAACATATATATTGATATAAAAAGAGATAACACGATTGAAAAATACCTTAAGGGCATATTCAAGTAGGAATGCAGCTTTAAATATTATATTATGTAACTGAAGGATGGCAACATTGCATAGTTATGACATAATTTTTGTAGCTCTACAGCCCTTTATCTAAAATCATACTATTTTAAAATTTCCTATTTAGCTATTTGAAATTCTGATTTCACATTCAAAATTTCCAACTCTGCATCTTTTTTCTTTTGTATGAACTTACTCTTTTTAAAAAATTTTATTGAGTTTATTGGTACATTTAGGTAACCTTGTGATCACATTCATCATTGAGAATTTGTACCTGTACATGGTACTCTTAATACTTCAGCCATGTATGGGGTAACTGTTCCAACAAGAGGTAAAAATCTATTAACCTTTAATATTTAAGGATAATACTTAAGTATAATGTAACCCAAGCCCATTGATTATTGCTATTTTATATATGTGTACTTTTAAGTGTAGAGGTCTTAGAGCAAAGTTTCTTGTATGTTTGACTTTTCCAAAAAAAAACCAACTGAGAAATAAATAACTTTTACCTATTACTGAAATATTAATAGCAAAATATGTTATTAAGGATGATTGGTGTGGTTATATAAATATTTATTATCATATAAAGGATAAATACAAATATGAAAACTCAAGAAAAATCACTTTGAGAAATATCTAGTCCAGGAAATATTTTCATCTTCAATGTATCTTTATATAAATGTACATTTAATTTGGACATATTGTGACCTGTCAGCCCAAACACATAGGGAATGGCCTTTGGCATATTTGAAAGAGTTGTTTATACATTGATTTATTAACCAAAATGTTTTTTCATATACGCATCAAGTAGTCTTTCCACATAGAATTATTTATGGGTGATCAAGTTTCTCTCCCACCAACATAATAAAGAGAACATCCATGGACCTTCCCCTTTAAAGGTGGCTTTTTATTTAGAGGGGTATTCAAATGAGTGCAGAATTCAAGACGGCTTTGTGTCTGTAGGATAAATAAGCCAGGCAACTATCTGTGGAAACTGCAATTTCCCCTAATCAAGCACACTTCCTACAGGTTTTCAGGACCCCAGTGAAATCTTGAAAATGGAAATGATAGCATGGTAAATAGAATTTTCAATATGGAAAGCAATGTGCAAAATAAACCATTCATTCAATTTAAACTAAAAAGATACCTGGCACAATAAGAATTAAAATGCCAAACTGACATTTTGAACTCTGAGTTTCCCCAAGTGGGGATGGGTAATGAGCCCACATCAAGAGAGAACAGATTTCATTGGTGAATAGTATTTGAAGCATTAAAAAAAACCTGTTTTGTTTCATTACAAATATTCTCAATGATATTTGTTTTAACTTTCTATTTTGTCAAAAAAAAATAAAGCACTGTCATTAGTATCTCTGTATGGTCACCAATATAAGCCAATACAGTGTATTCATGAGATAAAAAAATAACTTTAATTCTACTACTAGTTACAAGAAAAATGATCTTCCCATTTTATGGGCTGAAGTGTAAACAATAGGTTTGATTACTTATCTCCGCTATGTCTTGAATCTTAGAACATTTCTCATTCAGTGTTACAAGTTAGCTGGACTCCAAAGACACAGGCCACTAGCAAAGCTATTTCCCCATAAGTCTGCATTAAAATAGCACTGTTTTATTTAGTGCTTCAAATATTTCCCAAAGAGGATTCCTACACCATTTTATTTTGACAGTTTCCATTCAACATCCATGCCAATCAGAGCACAGGATTTTCTCTGTATTTTCTTCTGCATTTCCATGGCTCTGTCCATATCTCCATTAACTCTTCTTCAACTGCTGGCACTTGGCTGCTCAAAACAATTTTCCTCTTCCCTTGTGGAAATGAGAGTGGAGTGTCTGCTGCCTTTTTGGCAGCGGGCCAGAGTGCCAGGTAATCTCCGTGGTAAAGCTTAATCCTAATTAGCATGGTGTCACAGGGAAGCTGACGCTGCTGTTGTCACAGCAGCAAGTGCAGTAGACAGGGGGTGTCAAAGTCAGGCTCCCAAGGACCCGAAGAACATAATAAAGTCACCAGAGACCGGGGATATGGGCTCTGCCACTCTTCTGATGCTGACCTTTTCATGGGAAGTGCTTCTCATCTCATTCCTGTGAAGAATGCCAGCCTAAGTCCCAGAGTCAAGACCTTTGAGCATACGGGCGAACTTCCAAGAGCCTTACCCTCAACTGTCAGTGAGGGTAGGACACTGGGGTGACAGGAAGGTGTGATCCTCATTTTCACAGGCAGACTGCAGGCAGCGGGCCTTTTCCTGTGGCTTCATTTGGGTTCGCATGGCTACAGTGGCAACCCCAACTTGACTCAAGCTCTGTAGTCCGTCCAGTAATGAAGATTTCCTTCAGCACCAATTAAATAAGTCAAACAGAGCAAAGACTAAGCAGGAACAGCCCCAAATGTGATTTCCATGTTTGAAAGAAATATTTCTCACCTGGTAATTTTAAAGAAATGACAGCATAAGAACTGGAGAAGTATTTCATTATGATGACATAAGGAACTGGTTTTAGGTACATGGCACCACACGCCAGGATGGTAGCTTCAGATGTTTTGAAACCAGGGTACTTGAGCCAGATTCTGCACCTGTAGCTCTGTTTCTGCTTAGTTTTCTTCTGAATTAGCTCTGGCCTGATGTATAAGGTCAATCTATTCTCACAGACTCCTGAACACAGAGTTCTCCATCATTCCAGACTGAGGCCGAAACACTTCTCCCAGTGGTTCTCAGATTTGCTGCTTTGGTGTCCCTGGACACCACTGGAATAGTTCATGTCTGGACAGAATAAATTCTTTCCCTCTCCTTCCTTTTCCTTTGCTTTTTTCCTGTGTTTGCACGCATCTCTTTACATGACCAGTTTATTTCTCAATATTATCCTCTCTGCTGCTAGCCAGCTTCTTGCTTTAGGAATTCTCAGCTAAATATTTGAACACCCACACAATCCACACAGGATAGCCCATCCCACGAGCATTTAAGCAGGGAAGGGGAAGCCACTGCAGGACATTCGATCACATAGCATCACATAATCTACTGTGAGAGTTGTCAGAATAAAGATGGTTTCACTTTTGTCAAGCCCTAACAAAAACAAAATGAAGTCAGGGGGTTATTAAAGGAGGGACTTTATGCACATGACAAATGACTGTTGGAACCGTGACCTTGAACAGGAAGTAATTCCTGGACTTAGACAGATCCATCCTCATCATTGACCCTTCCTGCCAAGTGTGTTTCCGAATAGCTTATGCAATTCTCCTAAATTTGCCCCTGAAACTTCCCCTTTACAGCAGTCTCCTTGAATACACATGCAGTTTTCTATGGCACAGATGTCCCCATTGCAATGCCACTCCTGAATAAGCTTCTTAATCTTTGGGGGGAAATTCCCTCTTTTTGAAATTTAGTTAACATTTCCAATCAAGTGTGAAGACAATCAGAGCCCAGCAGAGTTAGGCACAAATATCCCATGATTATGAATCTCAGAGGGACAGTTTTTGGACTTTTCAATTGGGGTAGCTTCTTCTCCCACAGTGTCTCACTGTCTTGATCCTTCGTGTCTGGTCACGGGTCCCCATTGCTCGTATAGACATGGGCTGGGGGGATGGCCCTTTGAGCTTAGACTGCAGGCTGTCCTCACCGTAGGCTGCCTGTCCATGGCTCTCCAAGAGTGATCTGAAAGCCACTTTTACCTCTGAAGATGAGCACTGGCCCTGTCTTTTATTTGCTGTGTGCTTTAAGGGAAGTAAGCATCACCCCCCACATCCCTCACCCACAGAATGAGGACCTGTGAACTTTGCCTGGATCAGGGTTGAGTTTAATAGCAAGACAATGCTTTGCCCAGAACAGCAAATTAAAAGGTGGCCCCACTGATGTCTCTGTCGCTATCACATTATCTTCATCTACAAATGCTGTCATCTTTACTACCATCTGTCAACAAGCGTGTGGAATGGACTAATGCTTTGTTGATAGAAATACTCCCAGATTGGCTTTTATCAACAAGGTCATTCTCACTTCAGAAAGCAACATTCAGCCTGAGACACTATACTATACTCCTAAACCTGACGGACACCAGCACTTGCCCCCTTTCCTCACTGGGACTCCTTCACTCTGGGATTTGGGAGTGGTCTTTTCTTTCCATACCTTCTCCTCTGTCATTTCAGACATCCTAGGGTCTACTTATATTAGCAGTTTATTTTTTATTCACCATGATCTCCACTTTCCTATATTATCACAAACCTATTAGTTTTTTGTGAGGCAATGACTTTCTTCCCGTTGGATCAACATTCATTCTTGTAGGCAGTTAAGTCATGATCTGATCGCCTTCAACTTGTGCAAGCTCAACTTTATGTTGCTCTGAGGCTGACAGTGGAAGAGTCGAAGAGTTCCCTAACTCCTTTATTTTGATGTGTGTTGAAATATGAATTCTGTCACCCTCCATAGAGTCACTGACCTAAGTTCTTGCCTGGGATTTGATTACTTTGAAATCTGGGTTCTTGGAGTTCCAACCACACACATGAAGTTTAGATGTCAGCCAAGAATCTTATACATAGCATCTGTTGATTCTCCCCTGCAGCTTTCCCCCATCATTTCCACCATGCTCACATCCCAAAGCCCTGTATCTTACATGGCAACCTAACATGCCTGTCCCTTTCTGACCAAGTCCTAAACCTACACGTGTTCTTCACTAAAGTCTTCTCAGCAGCAAAGCAGCACACACCTGCATGCCTGCAGCAGTGGAGCTTTTCATTCTCTCAAAAAACAAATACTGACAGCTTCTCCCAGCAATTTCAAATAATAGATTTTCAAAAATGTATCTCAAAGCATGTGCTGTGTGCTGTGTCTGTCTCTTGGTTGTTCATGGACAGTTGTGAAGGCCATCGGTGGTTGGATTTCATGCTGTTAAAGCAGCACTTCCTATGTCACTGAGTCTTCACATCGATCCTGACCTCACCAACTGCAGAGCCCCCAGGAGTAAAGAGCTTTTCTTGTAATTTAGTCCATCATGAAGCCTGAATGTTATCCAAACAGCCACCATGTTGGTTAAACATGAAGGTCATGGAGATAGCTTACAGTGATGGAACAGATAAAAAATAAAAGTATATTTAAGACATTTTTCTAAAATAAAAGATATAGAGCCATATAAATTAACTATTAGCACCTTAAAACCAATGATCAAGAGAACAGAAAATGGGAAGTAGGACTTACACCTTGCAAACACAAACTGGAATATAATAGGAGGTTTCATGTCTAAAAAACCACTCACCTTCAAAGCAAGGCTATTTTGTGGTACTGGGAAATTAATCTCGCACATGTTAGGCACATTGAGCTACACCCAGTATTTTAAGTTTTTATTTTGAGATAAGTTCTTGCTTAGTCACTAAGTTGTTGGGACTAGACTTGAACATGCAAACCTTCTTCCTAATTCTCCCAAGTAGCTAGGATTACAAGCATGTACCACTGCGCAGGCCCCTCAGAACCATGCTTTTATGTTGTTATGTAAAAAGAGTGACTACTTCTGTAGGATTTGAAAAATGTAACTGATTAGTATGACTCTGGAAATGCTGCTACTTGAGTATTATGCTGACAGTGGTGAGAGAACTGAGTGGAATGGAAGCCAGGGCAGCCTCAGTACACAGGTCTTGGCCCTGTGCACACTTAGCCCAAGCTCCAGGGTGTCAGAAGCTCTGCAGCTTGCTGCCAGGTTTGGATATGATGATTTAGGAGTAGTGAGTTTCAGCTCCACAAGAGATATTTTTGAAGAGCTTTGTACAGGCTTGCCTGGTAGAAATTATAACCTCTGTAAATTGTTTAATGGTCAAATTTTGTTTTTCAGGTTGATATCATCAGATCTCAGCTTTGGAGAATGTATTGGATTCCCTTTATGACACTGCTAAGTAGGCAGAGAGCTATATCTGAGAAGAAGCAGGTTAAATGTAAGTACCTTTTAATCTTTTAGCAAGCCAGCCATTTATGTCAGGCTTGAAAGCTGAGATAGTTTTATTCATGTGTGCTCTTGTCTCTCTCTCTCTCTCTCTCTCTCTCTGTCTGTCTGTCTCTCTCTTGGCTCGTTTCAAAAGAAGAACAGACTGTTTTACAATAACCTTTGCAGATCACATTATGATAATCTATCATAGCATCTTTGACAAATTGATGGTGAAGCCAAACGTAACTAATCCTTAAAATAGGGCTTCATTTTTAGGAGCAAAAAGAAAACCATGCTCTGTGGTCACAGAATGTTTTTAGAAGATTACGTGATGACTTGCTTTCTCTTTCCCTAATAACAGGGAAAACTACTTGAGGATCTGCAGCCACTGTCTCCAAGGAAATATTCATGAAAAGCTAACCTGAATCTTCATGTGACAACATTTCTCTTTCAATCTATGAAGAAACCTTGCTATTAAAGCAAGCACTTTGCTTGATGAGTAGTATAAACTCGATCCATATGAAGAATGAACTTTACTAACAGGAATCCTTGAATAAAATGGCAATTTTGTACTTTGTACTTTTCAAATCATTTTGTGAAGTGTCAAATACTGAATGATTAACACGATAGTATGTGCAAATTAGAGAGTCAATATAGATGTGAAGCTTTATAAAATTACCAGAGTAGAGGAATTTAAGGAAATAAATAAGATCTTAATGTTTTCATGTGGATTAAATAAGGAATACTGGTGTATAAATTGAAGCCTATGCTTGGACTAGACTATTTAGTATCATTTTTGAAGTATTTTTGAAAAAATATTTTAATTGCACATTTGTATGGATGTTTTAGTCGTTTTTCTGGTCATGAAGACAGAATAGCCAACACCTACTTCTTAAAGGAGAGGTTTAATTTAGCTCATGGTTTCAGGGGATTCAGTCCATGGTCAGCTTCTCCAAGGTAGGAACATCATGGCAGAAGGGTGTGGTGGAGCAAAGCTGCTCAGTTCATAGCAGCCAGAAAGCAGAACAGGAGAACAACACCAGAGAGGAGGAAGCTTCAGACCAGATATAGTATCCAAGGTCACACCTCCATGACCAACCCAGATATACTCAGAAATGTTAGGCATTTTAATCCAATCAAGTTGACCTTTTAAGTGTTACAATAGGATAGAGTGTGGTAAATGAACACACATTCAAAATGTGTAATGATCAAATATGGCTAGTTAACATTTACATCTTCTTAAACATTAAAAATATTTGGCTAAAGTAGTACATGTGGGCTTTTTTTTTTTTTTTGGTACCAGGAATCAAACTCAGGAACTTGCGCTTGAGAGGCAGGTGATGGAACCACTGAGCTAAATCTCCAGCCCAGTACGTATGAATATTTATGATGAACAGTGTGATATTTCAACACATACTTTCAATATATACTATCAATATCATTTTTTCAGAATCCTCAAAATTAGACAGTAATTACTGTAGATGGAAGCCACACATCTAATTCATCAGCAAACATTATATTTCCTTCATTCTGAGATCCACTCAAATGATAGCAACTTAGAAACTTTCCAATACAGGAAGGAGATCAAGGGTGGGAAAGCTGGACTACCTACATAAAAAATACAGCTCTGATAACAAACTTCTCCCATGTGGTTTGATCAGAGATCCCTTACCACAGTCTTGACTTAAAAATGCAGAGCCCACTGATGTTCATCCAAGATTTGAGGAGAACTTCCAAAAGCAAAGACGCATAAAAGATAAACAAAGAAATAATTCAGAGGTAAATTTGGCATTTCTGGTTTTGAATAGCATATCGGGACAGTTTTGTGGGAATAAATCCAGGAAAACAGCAGTTCAAAACCACAAAAGAGCTGCCACAAATTAAGTATCTGATCATCAGAATAAAAATATCACAGAAGGTCTAGAAACTAGAGGGGGGAAGCATCTCACAATGTGGAAGAAAAGAGAAAGAAACAGAAAGATTGCAAGAATAAAAGTAAGATAGAGGTGAGAGAAAAGGTTATGGCTGGACTGTGCTCTCTAAAAAGACATGTAGAAGGTCCAACACCCAGACCCAAAGAATGTAATCCTATTTGGGAAGAGTGTTGTTGCAACTGTAATTAATTCAGCAAGACTTAAGCTTGGCTTTTTTCATCACAACAAGGCAGTAATGGCTTCACCAGATTGGGAAGTTGTACCTAATTTAGCATATGTAAAGAACCTTGAGCAGTGACCAGCACAGAGTAAACAGAAATAAATGGAGCTATCCTGGGGAGGCAGTAGGAGATAGGGAAAAGCAGGCAAATAAGACATAGAAGAGAGGGACAATGTCTTCACGTAGCAGGTTGAAATACTGATGTGCTGAGGACAGTGGAGCTTCCCCAGCAGCGGGATACCTGGGTGAAGCTGTAGCAGGCAGTGGTGGGCTGCTTGGGCTCCTTTCAGGGAAGACCAGCCTGCTCAGCTTGGAGGAGTGGGGAAAGAGTCCCCAGCTGGTCAGCTGCAGTGTCTGCTGAAGTCATGTTTTTGAGGGGATAGTTATTGTCCAAGTGGTTATCAAAGTTTGCACCCACATTCTGGGGCACCCTCAACTGGTGACACAGTGTGGTTGGGGGTCTACAGCATGCAGGACCCCTGGGAGGGCAACTGTGCAACTTTAGTGAAGAAAGAAGCAATAGACGCAAGTTGTTGCAAGAGGAACAACCCTAAAACATGCAGCACTGGTCTCCTGGGTAGACATCGAGAATTGATTTCACAATGGAGGATTTGGAGACCATTATGTTGAGTGAAATACGGCTGATTCAGAAAGACAGAAACCACATCTTCTCCCTGATATGTGGAATCTAAAAAAGGTGATAAAATGTAGAAGGGAGACTATTACTAGACAGAAGGAAAGGAATAAAAGGAGGCTAGGTGGTATAAGAGTAGGTAATAAGAGGGTGAATATGAGCAAAATGTGTGCATTAAATCCTCCCAAAATCTGAGAAGGCAGGGCAAGGAGATCATGCCTGTGAAAATGATCTAAGTATTTCTTGTGCCAGTATGAATCTTCCAAAATGGAACCCATTCATCAGAATAACCAATAAAAAAGAATGAATGAAGGAACTGATTTCAGAGGATGGCATATTATGCAGTAGCAAAATGTTTAATAAAAATAATGTTTAATAAAAATGCCATTTGGAAAAAGTATGAGAAAGAAAAAAAATGGAAACAAAGTCTATGTAAATGGGGAAGGGTGGTGGGGGTGAAGGGAGCATAGGTAATGGGGAAAAAAATAAGAACTAAGATACATCATGTTCAGGTACAAACACCCAATGATAAATGTAAATGTATTGTATACCTCAAATGTACCAATTAATATATAAATTAAAAAATTAAAAAAAAATAAAAACACCACTTGGAAGGCAGGTCGTGTGTCCCCCCTGGGCCTATAGGTTCTGGAGAAAAATGTTAGGTACTTTCTTAGGAGAATATTAAAAAATAAAGCTCAGGCAAAAATAAATCCTTAGTAAACAAAAATGAAAAATAAAGAAAATCCCTGAAGTTTGGGACCTCAGAAGTTTGCATTTCTGTTCAAAGAAAGGATGAGAAAAAAATACAAGAAAGGCCATTAAGATCACGTGAGGGGAGCGATTTCCCGAGGCAAAGCCTGATGATTCCAACTAACCACTGTCTGATTGAGTCAGACTGGGGACAGGCAGGCAATGGAGTAAGTAAGTGAGGCACAAGAGTCACGGTTGTCAAGGAACATGAGGTCTTTACTGCCATAAGCAACTGGTTGAAAGGAAATGTGTCCGATGTCTACTTGCTTTCTGAGTGAGCCAAAGCGTGGGGGAATCAGGAGTTGATATGAACTATCCTGGCTTGAAAACGATGTTTGGAAGCTTCAACCAGAACCATCAGCTGAGCTGCCAAATCTGCCTGTGCCCAAGCAGAGTGCCCTTCTCCACTCATAGAGATAAGGAGGAGCTGCACAGAGCAGGAGGCCATGGAGAGCACGAGGCCATTGAGAAGCACCCAGTCCAGGGTTTCCCTTTGCCCTGGACAGGGGCCCCTGGGCCTCTCACTGCCATGGACCAGCTCCTGCTGCTGCTCTTCTGTATGTTCTGGGCTTTATTGCTGCTACCTTCTCACTAGACTATGTTTGTGGAAAGATAGGGTGAGATATGACAGATTTTACCTCTCCCATCTATTCCTGAGTCAGTCACCAACACAGAGCATTGGCATGTAGACTTTTATTCTAGCCATTAGCTTTTACAGAGAAAGTGTCATCATTGTGATAGAGACTCTAAAAGAATATGACCTTAATTGAGTTGTGGGAAGAGAAACACAGTGAGCTCAGGGAACACAGCTATCAGCCCTGTCTCTGAAAGGCACTGCACAGTATCTTTCCTTAATCAAGTGACCTATAATTTCAGAGCCTTGATTTCCTCATCCATGAATCTGAGAGAAGAATATGGTTTTCTGTACTTTAAATAACAAATATCCGAGACGCCAAATCACCCCTCTGTAGACAGGCAGGTCAGCCCACACCCTACCGAGGTCCTGAGTGGCACAGAACATGCCTAATCAGCCCGCTGCAGACAGGCAGGTCTGTGCATGCCCTACCGAGGTCCCGAGTCAAGTGGAAGAGGCCGAATCACCCCGCAGCAGACAGGCGGTGATCTGGTTCCACACTACATAGGCACAGAGGACACGAGACCACCAGACCAAGGTACTGAGTCCTGCTGCTCCCAGCCCAGAGGTAGGGGCTTCTGAGCCACCTTCCCACTGCTCCTGGTCCAGAGGAAGGGGCTTCCAGGCCACCATCCCTCCTGCTGCTCCCAGCCCACAGGAAAGGACTTTTGGGTCACCATCCCTACCACTGCTCCCAGACCCTGTTTCACCTCTCCCAGCTCAGAGGAGGTAATCCGTGCAGGTGCTAACAGCTCCCCACCTCAGTCGAAATGAGAAACCACATAAATAAGTCTCAAAACCAGACTTCCAGATTACCTACAGCAACCCCAAAGTTAAATGAGATGGAACACTGATACTCAACCACCTGGACCCACTGAACTGGCAACCAAAGGGGATCTGGAAAAAATGAAATCAGGAATAATTTCTCAGATAACAGGAGAAATTGTGCCCCTAGTGCAAGACATGATTAATAAATCTAGAGAGGAGCTCAGAAACA